CCCTGACACGACAAATAAATAAATAAACTGTTAGGCAGGGTACAATTCTGCTTTGTTGCAAGACATTCATCATTCCCCTTTCCAATAGCCAGTCTTCCTCAATCAGCAAGAAGGTACAGGTCTCACACACATGTGGCGGCATTCAAATCATCAGTTTCCATCTAAATCTACAGTCTTTCATCCAAGGTTTGAAGTTTGTGGTTTTAATTGCCATATATGCTCATAACTAAAGAGCAGGTTTGGGGTAAAATTATTGATTTCGATAACTCATTAATAAATTGAAGGCTATTCCATGGAGTGGGGAAAGCATTATTGCTGACTCAAGAGGGCAGTCACCCCTAGTGGATGCCACCACCATTTTCCCATCCAGGCATTCAAAAAGGCCAGAAGCAGCACAACAGTGAACACAGTAGAGGGGATTGCTGCTTCTTTTAGGTTTTCCCAAGGCAGACTAAGTTTCAGGTTACTTAGAAAAGGGGATGGTTCTTTTCTTGATCAGAGGTAAGGTACAGTATTCACACTGATCCATGGATAAGTCGACCCAGGCTTTTTGAGTTGTTTTGATTAAAATTTCTAGACTGAATACACGAGTCTTTATGAACTTGATAAAAATGTTCCTTTTAGGAATCTCTATGCCCTCTAGTGCAATTCTATGGTCAATTTCTGCCAGAGGCTGACCATATAAGTTAGGCTGGAGGACCTAGGAATTCCTAGAGTTGTATTCCTTAGTTATAGCTTTTTTATTTGCTGTTTTTCTATTTTCAAGAAATGAGGAGAGCTGATTGTACATTCTGTCCTAAGCATAAGGAGTGCCTTTAAACCAAACACAGAGAATACCAAGGAGCCCTTTTATGGTTAATAATAAACCGTATTTGCCAAGTTACTAACCTGGTGGTTAGTAATGATGAAAATCCTGGTGGTTAGTAATGATGAAAATCCATCCTGGTCAACAGAAAATAGATGAACCTCTTTCTCCTTGTTTTGTATATAATCTGGGGGGAAATGGATCTGATTTTGAGCTGAGCATAAAAAAGACTGGCTTGACCTACTCCACATTCTGTGATACATCTAACAAAAACGTAGGAAGGTCAAATGAACTCTGAATTCTTTTTGCTGCCATTAAAAGTCTAGCGTTATTTCAAACTAGGCACCAAAGAAAGTTGGAAGCAAGAGAAACCTGCAGTGTTTTTGGCTTTTTCCAAAGCCCAGCACAAAGTGCAACACTTTACACTGCCTTTCATGCATTTGAAGACAAACTATATCATTCAAGTGCCAAAACCCAAGATCAACACCATGACTTGCATAATCCTTAGCAGGTTATAGGTATAGGCCTAAATCCAACATGGTAGGGATGCTAAAACATTAGCATGACAAAAGTTTCTTTCCTTCCCTCACAGCCCTTGAAACTACCAAAAGGGTAGTTCTGAAGGACATCCTAGGCTTCAAAAGCAGCTTTCGAAAGGGAGAGACTGCTATGAGAAGAAAGGACTCCCACTTCTTGATTCCACTGAAATCTACTGTTCTGCCCATGGAAGTCTATCACTAGATCCTAACCTTAATTATTCAAATTCTATAGCTCATAATACCTTTAGAACTGACTTGCAACAGAAAACATTTATTATTTTTCCATTCACTGTTTCAACTTTTAATATAGGAAATGCAACTACTGAGGTATCATTCAAAATTAGATTTGTCATGTAAACATTTTTTATCATTTAACTCACAAACTTTTTATAAAAGGATTTATAAAATGTAGTTGGAGTCTGTTTTTGCAGAAAATTATTCCCTATGTGTGAAACTGTTAATTGCTGTACTATGGTTTTAAATGCTTCAATTTTCAAAATTGAATCAGATGAAAAAAAAATTAATTATGAATTGGTCTGATTAAAAAAAAATCGAAGTGTGCCTTCTTCTTTTTAAGACTATCCATACCACCAATTTAGTTTCAGCATATTTTAATATATATTATTCTTTCAAGTAGCAGTGTCACACCTTCCAATGAGATAAAATTTCCCTGAAGAAATCTTCAGTATAAGTCAGTTTACTGTCACACATATACTGCCAAATATACACAGAAGGTAAGTGAAATCTTTTCTCTATTTAAACTTGGAGAACTTTGATAGTATTTGAGGCATCTTACTAATGTTCTCATTTAGCAAGCATCTATAGGATAACTGCCCACAAAACTTGATTAACTTTAGAAGCCAGTACAGTGCACTTCCAAGATATACCTCACTAGTTCCCCATTAACTTTGCTTATGCGAATATTCCATGAACTGCAGAAACCCCACAATTAACACATTATTACCAGGTATGTAAGAATAATTTTGATTTATATGAAAAATTGAAATGCCTATGAAATGAAATCTTAACATATTTCATTAGATGTGTTATGAAGAACTTCAGCTATATTATTGCAATATTCTTCTGAAACTCACAGAAGAGAAATACAAATAAAGTCTTGGAAGTTGTAGGAAGTACAGGTAAACCAATCAACAAGTGCAGGCCCGATCATCCAGATTAGGTATTAAATCCTAGTGCATGTTTTTAACATACGGGTTTGTAGCTATTTCTCTTAAAATATTCATTTAGCTCATTTACATGCCAAACAGCTAAGATGTTAGGACATTAAAATTGGAATTAACAATATACTTTAGAATTTGCCAACACATTTATTTAACTATTATTATAAAAATTGAAGACCAAGAGAAGTGAAGAGTGAACCTATGTTGGATTGCACTGTGTGGCTGTAATTCTAGGCATTTTTATTATGGGGATAAATCCATTCATCTTAATAGGACTTCCAATCAATCATGGTCAAGCTAAAATTTTCCTTAATCCAGTGGTTCTCAACCTATAGGTCCTCAGGTGTTTTGGCCTAGATGTCCCAGAAATCCCAGCCAGTTTACCAGCTGTTAGGAGTCCATGAATATAAATATTGAAGATGTCCATACTTAACTTTATCAATAAAGTCTGTAAAATTCAACCCCTAACATGTACATACAACTTGACTGTCTGTCCATTTTTAAACGGGGAAGATGAATGCCACAACTCTTCCCAATCAAAACTGTTTAAAAGTTGATAAAAATGGACGTGTGAGTAGATGACTGTGCTGCCTTATTATAGACTTTAGAAATCTGTGCCAATTGCTGAGTTCTAAACTAGAGGGAAGATACACTAACAATCTAGGAAGACTTAACAGGCACAGGCAAACTCAGCCCTCCGTGTGTTTTGGATTTCAACTTCCGCCGGCTGTTAGGAATTGCAGGAGCTGAAGTCCAAAACACCCAGAGGGCTGAAGTCTGCCCATGCCTGGTGTACACCCACCCTTTGGTCTATGTGGGTCATGACAAAAAATATTTCCCTGTTTTCCAGCAAATCCAACAGTGGGGCGGCTAAATTGCCTTACTTCTAGAAGAAGGGCGTATCAGATGGTTCCCACACCCTTTTCTTTACATATGTATACAAATTAAGCCATCAGCAATCAACTTTCTATGCTTCCCGGATCGTGATACGCACCCCCCACCCGCAACGATAAACTGTGGGTTCCTTCCTGGCATCCTTTTTTCCTTGACAGATTCAACAGAGGGGCTACAGGGACCGTGGGGAGGGGGGAGAAGAGAGGCACATAAACAGCGGGTTCCTTTTTTCCTTGACAGATTCAACAGAGGGGCCACAGGGACAAGGGGGTGGGGTGGAGGAAGAGAGAGAGATGAAGGATGGTAATAAGCAACGCCATCAGCCTAACCTTGTGTTGCAAAATCCTACTAAGAGTTTGGGGGAGGGGAGAGCTTAAAGGGAGGGAGAGAGGAGTAGGCCACTCGCATCTTTTTTTACACAGTAAAGTTTGCTACGGAGAGAACTGGGGAGGCGTCCAAAGAGAACAGGAAAGGGGGGTGGGGCGAGGCAGGGCGGAAGGGGGGGGCTGGGTGGGAAAGAAGAATGAAAAGACTTGGGATCTCGCAAAGAAAGGGAAAAGTGGGGAGGAGAGAAGGCGCAGACGAGGAAGGGAGAGGAATGAGACGGTGAAAGGAATGAGGAAGGTGGATTGCTGTGCAACCCTCCCCCCTCCCCACACACACACACACAGAAATCCGAAAGCAACGTGCCTTCAACCCTCTCCTTGTCCTGTTTCCTCTGAAAGCAAAGAGTGGGGCTCTCCGCGCTTCCTTGGGCCCAGGCCTTCCTCACCTGCCTGGGACCAAGGCGTCCCATACCCTCCGCCCTGTCCTTTCCTTTCTGGAGTGTGGAGGTATGAAGCTAGCTTGGAGCAAGGCGAGTAAAGGGAAGAAAGGAAGGAAAGGGAGGCCGGGGAGGAAGAGAGGCAGCAATGCTGAGCTGCCCAGTCCCCTCACAGCCTCGCACTCCTTCAAAGCGGCCTCCACTTGCCTCAGGTTCTGTCTGGAAGGCAGCGCCCACTGAAGCAGTTCCAGAGACGCCTCATCCTCCTGGCTACGAAGGCCTCCCTCAGTGTCGCTGCGGTTTGGGGGGAAGGAAGGAAGGGAGGAAAGAGAAAGGCCACTCGCCCTGACCGCCCAGAAGGGGCCGAGGGAGGGATTGAGAGGCGAGGCGGTGGATGTGGCTTGCCTACCGCGCTCTCCGGCTCTTCCACGGCAGAAGGAGGAGCAGCAGCATTCCGGGGGACAGCCTGGCTTCGCTCTACCGGCAAGGCCCCATCCTTCCTCCCTCCCCTCCCTCCTCCCCCCCTCCCTCCTTCCTCTCTTTCCCTTCCCTTCCCCGGTGTTTCTCAGCTCTAGTAATGGCGGCAGCGGCGGCGGAGGCACTCGCTTCGTGGAGGGAGCCGCTCGCGCTGGCTTCCCCCCTCCTCTCCCTTCTCTTCCCTCCTCCCTCCTCATCCACTTCTGTGCGCCGCCCTTCCCTCCCTCCCTCCTTCCCTCCCTCCTTCCCTCCCTCCTTCCTTTTCCTTCCCCTCAAGGCCTCCGTCGTCGCTTCTCCGTTCCCCGCCCCCCACCACCACCTCCTCTTCCACTCAACTTTACCTCAGCAGCTTTTCCCTTCCTTCCTTCCTTCTTTGCCTTCCTTCCTTCCTTTTCTTGCTTCCCTCCCTCATTCTCGCCCGGCTCTGCGCACGCGCACTCCCTCCTTCACTCCCTCTCTCCCGCGCGCGCTTCCCCTCCCTCCTTCGCTCGCTCGCGAGGAGACTTGCCCCGGTTTGCGCATGCGTGGAAAGGGCCCTCATTTTTTTTTTTTTTTACAAACCAGTGGCGTCTCTCTTCCTTAGGGCCGACGCCGTGAGGTTCCCCCTCGAATCTTTGCGCACGTGACCAGGCGCGAGCTCGGCCGTTTCTTTCCCCCCCCCCCCCCCCGTTCCCCTCCAACGTTCTCTCTGAGTGATTTGGGGAGGCCTAGGTGTTGCCTCACGCAAAACACACACAGCAAAACACCGTCTCGTCGCGCCTTGAGAGAAGCCGAGGAAAGGCAGGCAGGCAGGCGAGCGAGAGGCGCAGCTTCACAATCCCCGCCTCACCAACTCCTGGGATTTAAACGGGAGGGGGGGGGGAAGTAAAGCGCTCTGGAAAGACTTGGGGACGCCGCAGTTTCGGGTGAGTGGCATCAGTGGGCCTTCGAAGCAGGGCCACAAGCTCCCCCGCATGTCCTTACTGCACCTGGGAGCCTAGGCTGCTTCGAGAAATCTCGGCGGATGTTGGTCAAACACTCGGTGCCCAAAATCAGTGCTTTTGAGGAACTTGTGCAAAGCGCTTCCCTTCGAAGTGTTCAGAGCAACGCAAGAGCCCCGTGAAGGAAGAGAAGGGGGAGCTTTTCCAAAAGACTCTCCAGTAAGTTTATTGATCTCACTGTTCAACGGAGAAAACGTTGCCAGCCTGAAAATAGCTGTTCTTTTATGATTTTGGGGTGCTGGAAACGAAAATGACATTTAAAAATGTATATTGGCTCTAGTTTTTATGATATAAGCCAGGGGTCCTCAAACTAAGGCCCAGGGGCCGGGTGTGGCCCTCCAAGGTCATTTATCCGGCCCTCGCTCAGGGTCAACCTAAGTCTGAAACGACTTGAAAGCACACAACAACAATGACAACAATCCTATCTCATGAGCCAAAAGTAGGCCCACACTCCCCATTGAGATACTAATAAGTTTATATTTGTTAAATTGTTCTTCATTTTAATTATTGTGTTGTTTTTAAGTGATTTTTCCACTACAAATAAAATATGTGGTATGTATAGGAATTCATTCATGTTTTTTTCAAATTATAATCCGGCCCTCCAACAGTTTGAGGAACTGTGACCTGGCCCTCTGTTTAAAAAGTTTGTGGACCCCTGATATAAGCAATCACGTGATCACGTATGGTTGAAAAAATGCATGTTGCGACTTACACTATGGAAGATTCTAGAATATTCTAGAAAGTTTAATGACGCAGTATTAGTGCCGCGTGCAAACGCCAGAAAGCCCTATATAAGGCCAGACTTTTGAACGGTGAGGGTCAGTTAGTTGAAGACTGAGACAGTATCGTTAAACATTGTTTTACATTGTTCTTTTTACTGTAGTTATGCCTTGCACGTGTGTAAATAAAGCAGACAATTTCTGCTATGTTTGCGGCAAAGTTACTTTTGGATCACAAAAGAGACGAATAACAGCAGTGATTAGGAAAGCCTACAAGTTGTATTTTGAGTGCAAAATAGGAGACCAAGACAAAAGTTGGGCGCCCCACATCTGCTGTAATTCATGTGGATCGAGACTTGTCCGGTGGCTGAAGGGGAAAAAGTCTTCCATGCCTTTCGCAGTGCCAATGATTTGGCGAGAACCAACCGATCATGTCAGTAATTGTTACTTTTGTATGGTGCCTCCAATTCAGAAAGGTGTTACAAAGAGAAAGAAATCGTTTATTCAGTATCCAAACATTCCTTCAGCAATGCGTCCAGTACCTCATGGAGAAGGACTACCGATTCCAGAAGCACCTGAATCTTTCGTAATTGACTCCAGTGAGGAAGAACCAGACGAAGCTTGTAGTGATGATCCAATAGCCTTATTTGACTCCGATTTTCTGCCATCCACATCCAATGAACCGCATCTCATAACACAGATGGAACTCAACGACCTAATAAGAGATCTGGATCTTCCTAAGAACAAGGCCGAGGTTTTAGGTTCAAGACTGAAGCAATGGAATCTCTTGGCAGAGAGACTGTCAGAAAGACCTTCTTCCACTCTTTGACCAGGTAGGTGATATTGCTGTTTGTAAGAATATCTGCGATTTAATGTCGGCCCTCTACATAAATTATAATCCCGAAGAGTGGAGGTTAGTCGTTGATGCTTCCAAAACAAGTCTTAAAGCTGTATTACTGCATAATGGGAATCAGTTACCATCTATTCCAGTTGCTTATGCAGTTGCAATGAAAGAAACATATGAAAACCTGAAAGAGCTTCTAAGATGCATCAACTACAATCAACATCAATGGTCAGTCTGTTGTGACCTAAAAGTTGTTGCTATCTTACTTGGTCTTCAGGGTGGATATACTAAGTATTGTTGTTTTTCATGTGACTGGGACAGTCGTGCCAGAGAATTGCATTACATCAAAAGAGACTGGCCGCTAAGGCAGACATTGCAGCCACGGAGTAAAAATGTAAAACATCTGGCACTTATAAACAGCGACAAGATCATATTACCTCCATTACACATAAAGCTGGGATTAATGAAAAACTTTGTCAAGGCAATGGATAAGAATAAACCAGCTTTTATGTACCTGAAAGGTAAATTTCCATCAATTAGTGCTGCAAAAATAAATGAAGGAATTTTTGTTGGCCCACAGATCCGTCAACTTATAGGCGACGACGAGTTTCTTTCTCTATTGAAAGGAAAAGAAAAGGCTGCGTGGATATCATTCATGTCAGTAACATCAAAGTTTCTTGGAAACAACAAATCATCAAACTACAAGGAAGTGGTTGAAGAACTACTCCAAGCCTACCACCGTCTTGGATGTAACGTCATTAAAAATTCATTTCCTTGACTCGCATCTGGATTTCTTTCCATCAAATTGTGGGGCAGTGAGCGACGAGCATGGTGAGCGTTTCCATCAACAAGTTGCCACTATGGAAAAAAGATATCAAGGCAAATGGACTCCGTCAATGCTGTCAGACTACTGCTGGAGCATTGTAAGAGACAATCCTTTCCTTGAATACAAAAGAAAAGTCAAGAGAAGCAAACAGGATATAAACTAAAGTCACGATTAAAGCGACATTTAAACTTTCAGACTTTTCAACTGCATTAGGCCTACTAATATAGTTTCTTGCTGCACAAACATAAACAATACACTAATTAAATAAATATTTCTCATGTATAAACTATTGGCAATATAATTTGACTAAAATTTAGTAAATATTCACGGTTTATACACATGCAGTAAGGTTAGGTGCATTATCATAATATTAACGAATTACCTATTGTGGAGAAAATTGAAATAGCTGTTGCATAAAAACCAAAGCCAATTAACACATTTAATTATTATATTTGAATTCAGCATGTTAAATTTATTAAGAAAAGGCACATTTCGTTTCCGCAACTGAGAAAAACTGAAAATTTGTAGAACAGTGTCTTTATTGTGTGAAAAAGCAGGCATGGGCAGACTTTGGTCCGCCAGGTGTTTTGGACTCCAACTCCCACCATTTCTAACAGCCTCAGGCCCTTTCCTTTGTCCCCTCGGGCACTTAAGCGTGGGCCTGAGGCTGTTAGGAATTGTGGGAGTTGGAGTCCAAAACACTTGGCGGACCAAAGTTTGCCCATGCCTGCTATATACATACACATACAATAATAATAATAAAACTTTATTTGTACCCTGCTACCATCTCCCCAAGGTACTCGGTGCGGCTTACATGAGGCCGAGCCCACAATACATCAGCAAAAACAACAACAACAGCAGTACAAAACAATAAAATGAAACTCATAAACAAAAAACAAGCAGTAAACATTAACAATAGCACAACAACACTTAAAAACCTATGGTTGGGCCAAATGTAATAATTAAAAATTAAAAAAATAATGCTGAGCATGACCAGGTGAAATATATAACTAGAATAGAATTTCGGAGAGGAAATATACACACAATACCATCAATGTACAGTGAAACAAGCCCAAACAATGCCTCCTGCTAAAGATATACAATCTGAAGTATGTACACATACACAACACCCAGGAACGGGGACTAACAGCTCACAAAAAAACTATAATACAGTTGTAAAACAAATCAGCCAGAAAACATATAAATAGTACAATATGACACAAACCAAGATTACAAAACAACCTCAAGCAAACTTACAATACGTACTGTATTTTTCGGCATACTAGACAACTTTTTAAGCCTGGAAAATCTTACGAAAAGTAGGAGGTTGTCTAGTCCGCCAGGTATAAATTAAAATAATAAGTAAAAGAAAAAAATCCCTTAGTGGTGTGGCCTGAGGAGGAGTGGCAGGCCGCATTGCCACAGAGACCAGCTGGGGGTGATGGCCCGCTGGGCTTTCCCTGCGGCCCTCTGGACAACTCCCAGCAGCAATGGGTGGCAACGTGACTTGGATGTGCTCCCAGAGGCATTCTGGGAGCAGTAGTTCCCTGACTCCCACAGCTCCCAGAATGCCTCTGGGAGCATATCCAAGGCACGCCGCCACCTAGCGCTGCTGAGAGTCATCTGGAGGTCCTTCCTTGGGCCTCTGGAAGACGACTCCCAGCTGCCCTGGGCGGCGGCATGCCTTGGATGTACTCCCAGCGGCATTCTGGGAGCAGTAGGAGGCAGGGAACTACTGCTCCCAGAATGCCTCTGGGAGCACACCCAAGGCACGCCGCTGCCCAGGGCAGCTGGTAGTCGTCTTCCAGAGGCCAATGGAAGCGCCTCCGGATGGCTCCCAGCAATGCTGGGCTGCGATATGCCTTGGATGTACTCCCAGAAGCATTCTGGGAGCAGTGGGAGTCAGGGGACTACTGTTCCCAGAATGCCTCTGGGAGCACATCTCAGGCACGCTGCCGCCCGAGGCTACTGGGAGTTGTTTCTAGAGGTGTTTCCTTGGACCTAAGGCGAGCCCAGTGGCCTTCAGAGGAGGGCCTTGAAAGTAGAGTGGGTAGAGTGGTGGGGGCCGCAGGGACAGCCCAGCAAGCCATCACCCCCATCTCCATAGAATG